TGTTACCTCTTCCGTTCCATCCCGATAAAGGTAGACCTTTTAGAGCTCAAAATAAAACCACCTATTCTACGAATATGGACAAGCGCTAGGCACCCCGGATAAGTATCAATGCAGATGGCGATTGTAATGTTCAGGAGTTCGCTTACACCGTTCGCTTACGGTTCGCGTAGTTTGTTCGTTATCCTAAATTTTCTCACCCCCGTTCTCACTCACAGTGCATAATAAGTACTCGAGTCTACGTCTCCTGGAGCCTTGGGCATGGACTTGGAGGCCTGGACACTACAGCGATGTCGATGGCGGTTGGAGCAGATAATTTTGAGATTAATGAATAAAGGCTGAAAGTTTCTAAACTGTGGTGCCGCGTCGGTGGAGGTAACAAGGTAATTTGGTTATATCGACAAAGTTGAAATTGTAAATTGGCCACCGTAACGAATAAAAAAGCTGACGTTTCGAGCGTTAGCCCTTGATCAGAGCGAATGGAGAAATTGTGGGTTGTATGTGGGTTTACATACAGAAAGCGGAGCTACGCCATTGGTGGGAACATGGCGACGAGAAAAACACGAATAACTTAGTGGAATGAAAAGCGTTCGTTGATACCCGTGGGATTAAAAATGCCGATTTGAAAGATAAACTTTTGTTCAAGAGTTTTGCGGCTTTCCGTTTTGCCTAAATGTAAGGAAAGACCGCAGATTGCCATATGTTGTTTAGAATGATCAAAGAGGTAAGGGAGCAACTTCAGAATACCTGTCCAGCTCATTTACATGTGTGAAGGTGTAGTCTGATCGTCCGGGTGAGTGTAGTCCTGAGAAGGACTGTTGTCGGTGGTAGTGACTGACGTTTCGACAACCTGTGCGGAAGTCATCATCAGAGTCAAGTGAATGATTGTTGTCAGTAGAATGTTCTTATTCCAGTTCGTGTGAAATGATCGGTTGGTTTTGACGNACTCGACAGACAGCTTATCCGACGAGAACAAATACCTTCACCGTGTTTTTACGAAGAACAACTACAACAACGACTTCATCCGACGAAACACTCACCGACCCACTACCACTACCGAAACAAACGACACCGCAACCCCTACGACTACAGCAACCATACCGTACATAAAAGGCATGTCTGAAAACATCTCGCGCATCTTACTACCCTTCAATATCCGCGTCGCCCACAAACCCATCACCACACTACGTCAGTTACTAACCAACGTTAAAGACAAAGACGAACCGAGGAACAGACAGGGAACGATTTATAAGATCAATTGTTCCGACTGCCAAGCCTCCTACATCGGTGAGACTGGCAGAAACCTCACAACAAGACTGACTGAACACAGACGGGCGACGAGGAAAGGTGATGTCAGCAATCACATTGCTGAACACCATCGACTTACCAACCACAACATTGACTGGGACTCTGCGCAATGCCTAACCTACAGCACTGACTATTTTCAACGACTGACTCTGGAAAGCTGGTTTACTAACTTAGAACAGACTCCCCTAAACAGATGTCAACAACTACCCGCTCCATACAAACGACTCATTCACGACATAAACATCACAAACGACCGAAAAAGAACGACCTAACTTTACCGACAGATCGAAACAGACCAATCACGACCGACTTACGTCACTTGAGTCTTACAGCCAATAACATCACGTCAAAACCAACCGATCATTTCACACGAACTGGAATAAGAACATTCTACTGACAACAATCATTCACTTGACTTTGATGATGACTTCCGCACAGGTTGTCAAAACGTCAGTCACTACCACCGACAACAGTCCTTCTCAGGACTACACTCACCCGGACGATCAGACTACACCTTCACATGTTACCCCCGGGTTCAAGCCATTTACTGCATCATTTACATGTGTCGGGAGGCTTTGAAGAACGAGGCATAACACAATAGGCGCTATTCTTATTAATAAATGGGTGGTCGGGTATTCTGAAGTTTAGCCGAGGAAAGATTGGAAAATTTGGTACTACGATTGAAATTAACTTTGTTAATATCGTGGCGACATTATTTGATGAAAAAGTCACAGTAATGATGCGAACTGGCCCTCTGGGGGAGTCCATTTAGACTTTCGAATCTGAAGTGTTTCGAAAGTGTCTTTGTTCGAGGCGTTAGAATTATCCTCTTTGTCATGAAAAAAGGCTTTTATTGAACGCGGCGGAGAAATTTTTCTACGTCTTGTTTAACTGAGAATTTGTCCTTTGTTTTAGAAATGGGAACAAAATTGAAGCCCTCGCTGAGGACGGATTTTTCTGAATCGGAAAGTGAAAGATTTTCTGGAATGGCAACCACAGTTTTGAGGTTTTCTGGTGATGAGCGGTTAGCAATTTGGGGACCGATAAGTTGGTCAAGTTTTTGGGTCATAATTTGGTTCAAGTGATTGAAAAGTTCAAATTAGTTTTCTGAATTTTGGCGTGGAGAGATTGTAATAAAACTGCTGGACAGATTTTGGAAAGTCCAGAGCGGCAATGTAGAATTTTTTCGGTGAGGTGATTACGTTTTTGGCACATAGCTCTAATGGTAATTCTCATTATGTCGCGTGAAAAGGAATTTTGGGCGCACTGAATTTGGTGATGATATTGGTAGGTAAAAAAAGATGCATGAAAATTGGAGCGAAAACCCTTAGGAATAACTTTAGACTGAAGGCAACGGCCGATGAAGTTGATGCGGCTACAAAATCTAGTTTTGGCGAAAGTGAATGGCTAAACGGAATGCCAGATCTTTACTAATAAGGGGGAAAAGGAAGAAGATAACTTACGATTTCCTGGCGTAGCTCCTTCGTGGGTTTCTTGAGGCTTGGCAGGTCCGCCGTTCTGAATGCTGTGGATTGAAGAATACTAAGACGAAAGTTAGTGGCCGCAGCTACAAAAAGACAAATGAATAAAGGCTAAAAGTTTCTAAAGAAACTGTGTTGCTGCGTCGGTGGGGGTAACAAGGTAATTTGGTTATATCAACTAACTTTAAATTGTAAATTGGCCACCGTAATGAATAAAAGAGCTGACGTTTCCAGCGTTAGCCCTCGGTCAGAGCGAATGGAGGAATTGTGGGTTGTATGTGGGTTTACATGCAGAAAGCGGAGCTACGCCATTGGTGGGAACATGGCGACGAGAAAAACACGAATAAATTAGTGGAATGAAAAGCGTTCGTTGATACCCGTGGGATTAAGGGTGCCGATTTGAAAGACAAACTTTTATTCAAGAGTGTTGCGGCTTTCCGTGTTGCCTAAATGTAAGGAAAGACCGCAGATTACCATATGTTGTTTGGAATGATTAAAGAGGAAAGACTGGAAAATTTGGTACTACGATTGAAATTAAGTTTGTTAATATCGTGGCGACATTTTTTGATGAAAAAGTCTAACGAGGCGAACTGGTCCTCTGGGGGAGTCCATTTAGACTTTCGAATCTGAAGAGTTTCGAAAGTGTCTTTGTTCGAGGCGTTAGAATTATCCTCTTTGTCATGAAAAAAGGCTTTTGATTGGACGTGGCGAATAAATTTTTCTACTCTTGTTTAACTGAGAATTCGTCCGTTGTTTTAGAAATGGGAAAAAAATTTAAGCCCTTGCTGAGGACGGATTTTTCTGAATCGGAAAGTGAAAGACTTTCTGGAATGGTAACCATAGTTTTTGAGGTTTTCTGGTGATAAGCGGTTAGCAATTTGGGGACCGATAAGTTGGTCAAGTTTTTGGGTCATAATTTGGTTCAAGTGATTGAAAAGTTTCGAATTAGTATTTTGAATATTAGTTAATTAGAATATTAGAAATTAGTTTTCTGCGGCAACTTTCTGACACCTCTTTTATCAAAAGGTTGACAAAGATCTTACTTCCATTAATCAAAAAATCGTCGAAAATACGATTAACGAACTCATAGCTAAATAAGAATTGCCGGCCACTGCAAAAAATCTCATCATAACCACTCCTAGAACTTCTAGTATTTAATTTACTTTTTACCTAAAAATTCACAAACCTAACAAACCAGGTCGGCCCATTGTCTCGGCTTGCAGTTTCCCTACCGAACTTATCTCCAGCTATCTAGACAAAATTATGGCTCCCATCGTCAAAACTTTACTATCATATATTAAAGACAGCCAACACGCTCTTCAAATTTTTCGAGACTTTAATTTCCTTGGCCAAAA